TTTCGGGAATTTAGTTTAAAAATTGAATTAGCAATATTACTCGAATAATCGGTTTGGGAAATCCCATGTTAATAATTTGGGTTCCTCTTTTTTTGGTCCTCATTAAGGCTAGGAACTTTGTCACTAATCCAGAAGCTAATACCCTGCTCGCTTTTCGAAAAACAACCAAATTGCCTTCGTTTAGCTGAAAATGCTGATTTATTAGCATTACGCAATGCTAATAAGCACTACCCTTCATTGGTGAAGAGTTTTTCGTGTTACACTTAGTTTCAGCTACGAAAATTGAGCTTCGAGGCTCTGGATTGCAGAAGAACAAGCATATGTCATCTATCAATCACTGCTCTATTCATGAACTTTACTTTTTCCGGTGCTTCTGGCAAAAAATCACTGTTCCTGTTTCAGGAGCGAAAGGTGAACGAGGTGATGCTGGAAGGAATGGCGAGAATGGCTTTGCTGGACGTCCGGGAACGCCTGGTCTAAAAGGTGAACGCGGTCTGCCGGGACTACCAGGTGTCGCTGGACTTCAAGGACCACCAGGATTGGATGGTTTGCCTGGGCAGAAAGGCCACGCCGGTCTTCCGGGTGAGCCTGGCTTTAATGGTCAAACTGGGCAACCGGGAGTGCCTGGAAGAAAAGGAGAAGCTGGACTACCGGGATTACCTGGACTTGGTGGACCAGTTGGACCAATCGGAAAATCGGTATATGTTTTTCGACATTTTCAAATAATTAAAATTACCAAAAAAAAAAAGAATTTCCAGCCGAGAGCTTTCGAGCAGGAATATTTTAGTTATTCTTGGTACTTTAAACAACTGCAATTTGCTGCGTGATTTTTCAAATCCTTCACTTTTTTTCACCAATACTGCATCGTGTGGCGGTCAGCTTACGTTATAGGCGGGTCCAGGACGGACTCCTGGAGGAGGAGAGAAGAAAGCGGGGTTGGGGAGGAGAGTCCCCTCCTATCCTGTAATTATGTGAAAACTAGGAATAGAATTGCGACACTGCTACTTAGAGTTACTTTTGCTTATAGTTATTTTATGCTTTAGTTTACTTCAATTTTGGCCTTAGATCCGGGCTCTTGGAGCACTGGCGCCTGCGCCGCAAGGCGGGGAGAGGGGAGGAGAGGGGGCGGGGGAAGCGAAAGATCCTTGGATCCGCATATGATTTCATCTCCCCAAAGCAAATTTTCACGTTAACAGTTCCCCTCAACCCTGCCACATGGCAAGGCTCTAATTTTTTGAGACGCTACCAATTCTAGACCAGACGAGTTATTTTACCGATTAAAAGGCACTGCACTATAAATAAATAAAATGGTTTTAATAAGAATGATGTTGCAGGGTGAAGTTGGTTTTCCTGGATTACCTGGTATGCCCGGTGATGAAGGTTTAACTGGCCTACCGGGAATACCGGGTGTAAAAGGTATGCGTGGCAATGCAGGTGCGCCAGGTGCACCCGGTGCAGATGGTCGTCCTGGTCTTGCTGGTGCACGTGGTGAAGAAGGACGTCCAGGATTACCGGGGGCAGCAGGAACTGGTAAGTGCCAGAATTCCTCGAACTGCGTAATTTTTTATGACATTTGTTGGCTTTATTTCAAATTGCCCGATTTTCAGGTGTCCAAGGTCCACCTGGTGATGCAGGTTATCCTGGATTAGACGGCAAACCGGGTCTACCTGGCCGAAAAGGAGAACGAGGTTTGGATGGGCTACCGGGTCTGCCAGGTGCACCGGGCATGCGAGGCGTTGATGGTTCTCCGGGTTATGTTGGCGAGAAAGGTATCGCTGGAATCCCAGGAAAACCAGGTAATCAAGTTATCGTTTCATTCCAATGTTAATTTATTTAGGAAAAAAA